CTTTTTTTTTTTTTTTTTTTTTTTGCAATCTTCTACATTTTGGTGGCAATGATTTCTCTAGTGATGATCACAGGTGGTGATGGCTGCTTTAGTTTCAATCTTCCATCACATGTTTATTAACCTGTGTTGTGGTATAGAAGGCAATGTAATTATTGCCCATTTGCCTCAGATATAGTACCTGTTAACTGCATAGAAAACCTTATCCAGAGGTTTATACTGTTTCTTTGTTTAGAATTGGTCTAAGTTTCTACAAATCTTGAGCTGATAGTGTTTCAATTTTTTTTCTTCGTGTGTGTGTTTGAAGGGAGATTGTGATGTTGGTTGTGAATTATATGAGGAGTGGGCTCAAATCTGTGGCATCTAAGCTAAAGAAGAAGGAAGAAGGCAAGGGGCTGAAATGGATCAAATGCAAAGACACAAGGTGTCTCTTGCCCACGCAACAAACCAAACGAAACCTTGTGTCCGAACGAGCTTCATCATCCCCATACGAATGCGTCTAATAATAACAAGAATCTCATCCGTATATGCCGTTCACTCCCATTGTCTGTTTCTATTGTGCTCTGTGCAATAAACCATCCAAAAATGTAAATAGCCTTTGTTTACTATGAAATGGACGCATTTGTATCGTTGGTGGGTTTATGGAATTTGGATCTGTGTTGTTGGGTACGAAGGGTCGAGTTGGTCTTTTGTAATGAATTCTCATTTATACGTACCTTGATTTCTTGATTATGTACGTACGTAAACGTATAATGGAAAACGAAAACCCGGTTCGGCCGGAAGGGGAAAACCCGGTTCAAAATTATATACAAGAAAAAAATCTTAAAAGAACCTTTAAAAGAAAAAGAACGGGAATCGGAAGTCCTGAAAGCTAGGGTTCATCCGGGTCGATATCTGTTTTCGGAGAAATCCTGGATTTTCTCTCCAATTTCTACCGAAAAGTGCATATCTGGGTCTTGGGTTCAGCCGAGGTAAGCAAAAGTATCTCTCTTGCCGATGTTTTGTTTCGTCTGCCGCTGCAACGTGGGTGGAAATTTGGGTTTCTCATGTTGCGAAAGAAATGATTTTGGCTTCTGGGTTTTCCCCTTTCATATTTCGGGGGTCTGAAATTTGGTTTAGATTTCTGAAAGAAGGATCTAAATATGCTGTTGTTGCGATACACGAGGGGTGTAATGAAATCGTGAAGTTGGTTGTGTTGACTGTATCCTGTCCCATGTTCTGTTTATTTCTGATTTCATTGATCTGTGTTATGGTATTTTGAATCGACAAACATTTTTTTTAAAAAAGAGAGATTTTCTCAAGTTTGGATGGAGCAACAAGCATTTGGTGTTGTTTTCAGTAGATGTTATTAGTGCATGCATTCGATTTATGTTGCATGTACGGTCAAAGATATCAGATTCGCGTGCTGTATCAAAGAGCTGTAGATTTAGTGAGTGAATGCATGGTAAGTTGATTTCTCAAAGGGAGAGAAAAGTTGGTGATAAATCAAATAAATGAGCTTGTGAATTTGAATTCGAGGCGAATTTGTGCAAAACATCAAAGAATGAGCAAACTGCAATCAAGGGTTAAGAGGATATCCCTCATGGATACTACTTGCATCTGATGAAACCAAAAAAAAATGAAAGAATGATGTCTTATGATGCTTTGGTTCATGTTTCCCATGTGAAATTAGCTTTTGGGTATCCCACTCTTTGGAGCTATTTGGTTTCCATAGTTTGGCCATGCATTTGTTGGTACGTCGTTAAACCTGCCGGTCTTGAAATATCTGTCTGAGAGTGGAAATCTTCCTGCTTGCTAGCTCAATTGTGGATTTCACTTCTGTTTGTTTCAGGAGTCATAGCAGTCTGATAGTTCAGATGTCGGTAAAAGCAAGGAGAATTTCCGGTAGGTCGGAGACTGTAACAGCTAATTACGCATTCGACCCAGCAGAAGATGACGTAATAATAAGGAACAGGCTTCTCACCCGCACGACGACAACAAGGGGTGAACCTCCATTAAAAAAACTTCAGAAAAAGTTCACTTCTTTAGTACTAGAAATAGAGAAAGATGAAGATAACTACAATGAGTGTGGTAAGCTTGCCAAAGCTTTCTTACAGGAACTGTCGACTTTCGAGATTCCTCTCCTCAAGAGCCAAGCAATTGTTGCAGCAAACCTTAGGGAGAAGGAGAATTTTAACGAGTTGAAGGATGAGATGAATAGGCAGATAATGCAGGCACAAGCTGATATAGAAGATCTTAAGAAACAGCTCGAAGAGAGCAAAATAGAGAGACGGCATAAAGAGGAGTGTGAGGTCATTAGGAAACTGATATCTGCACAACCACCGAGATCTGAGTCAGAAAAGATCATACATGAGTTGGAGAAGGAGATTGCAGAACTGGAGGCAGAGAACACAGCAAGTTGGAGACTCTTAGAGCTAAGGAAGAAGCAGTTTACACTACTGTTGCATGTGGTATGTCAAAACAGAGCTCTTAAACTTACACAGTTCATTATGATATCATCACACCATATTAAAAGTGGCTTTGAATCTTGATGATGTTTAGGACTTTTTATTCGGGTCTAGGTCTGTCTTGTTAATTTTTCAGTTGTAGAAAATTGATTTGAGACCCTTAAGAGAGATGATTGCCTTTCTTGTTTGTGATTTGAGAGGTGAACTATTGTTTTCGATCTCTCGTGGGTTTCTTAAAAGAAAAGGGGAGGGTATAGAAGATTGTTATGCATCGTTTTTGCCACTGCTTCCTTCATCAGAATCCAAAATATTTTGGTCCGAAAAGGTAGTTCTTGAGAATGTGTTTGCTAATGGTAAAACTTTGGGCATAGGTGGAGGAGTTGCAGAATACAATAGAAGAGGAGCAGAAGAGCTTGATGGAGGAGCAGAGGAGCAGCGTAGAAGACACGGCCATGTCTGTGGATTAGTTCCCAGTTTGCTGAGACACGGTTTTGTAATCCGAATGCGAAAGTAAGATATAAAACTCCACATTGTCGAATGTATCTTCTTTGCTTTGTGCTTGTTCTGTTGTGTCACGGAGAAGTTGCAGAAACCCGAAGCTCTGGTTGAAGAACTGAGAAACAGAGATGGGTTTATTGGAACATCCTCTACTTGTACTCTTTTGTCTTTTTTACTCGAGAGACTTGTCTCATATTGTTTTGCAAGTGAAAATCTCCATCTTATCTAACACCGGTTGTTCTTTTTCTTCCTCTCAGTTTTCCTTGTGTTTTTTTTTTTTTTTTTGTGATTGTTTTGAGTTTTGATGCATTTTGTGTAAAATTGGTGCTTATGTACCAGATAAATATGAGTTTTTAAACTTAAGTTGTTCTTTTTGTGATATTAAAATTGTTTGTAGAAATATAAAAATAGTAATCCACTTTAAAACATAATTATTATGTATCGAAATCGAAATGATTCAAATTCTATTGTTGATCGCGTATTTTCAATTTTGAGGAAATTAGAAGTTTAAAAGAAATTAGAATTTTGTTTACAGAAAAATAAAAAAAAAGCAAGTCTTGAGCGGTTGCGATTGCAGTGCTCGCAATCGCGCGCACACCAAAACGCTGGTTTTCCAGTGAAATGTTATATCAACAGGAATCACTGTTCGTCCCTCTTTCGAAGAGAGCCCGAGGGAGTAGAAAAACTAGGGTTTCTTCCTCCGTGCTAGGCATGGGCATTCGGGTCGGGTTAATCGGGTTCGGATAAAGCCGACCCGATTTATCGGTTTTTGGTTCGGTTCGAATCGGTTATGTCAAAAATAACCGATCGGTTTTGGTCACCCCATAACCGATCGGATCGGTTCGGTTCGGGTAAATACCCGATCGGTTTCGGTTATTTGAATAAACCGAAATTAAATTAAAATCTAGGGTTATATTTTCCTCCTCGGACATTCATCTGCTTCGAACTCCGCTCTGCCATTAGCGAAGCCAAGCTCTTCTTCCTCCCTCGAGCTTGACTCCATCTCCTCAAGCTCGACTCAATTCAACTCCCTCCTGTCCGTCGCCGACGTTCGCCTGTGTCTGTGTCGTGTCTCTCTCCACTGCTCTCATCGTTTTTCATCTCTCTCTACATCTCTCGTCACCGTTCGTGTCTCTCTCTACATCTCTCGTTGCCGGCCTCCTCTCTCTCTCTCTGCATATCTCTTCGCCGGTCTCCTCTCTCTCTGCACCTCTTGTCGTCGACTCGTCGGTCGCCTCTCTCTCTGGTCTGCCTCGCCTCGGTTCGTCGCCTCTCTGTGACTGTAAGTTCCATTCTTCTTCTCCCCATTCGGATCGGAGTCCGTGCGCTATATCGTCGAATTTCTCGTCTAATCCTCTCATCTGCCGGAGTTACCGTCCTCAGCCTTCGACGCTCGATATTCGATCTCGAGGTAAGATGAATCAGATTTCGAACAGCTTTTTCTGATTTCTTGCCTTTTGTTTTCGTGGAACATCCCGTCGATTGCTCTTGTCCGATTCCCATTCTTTATCCCATTCCAAACCCTAGTAGGATTTTATTCGCCGAAGGGTATTGTGATAATGAAATCGTTCCTGAGTTTCAATTTTGCATGAGGTTAGGGTTTTGTCGCGTTTCAGTTGAGAGTTTGTGCAACAGTGAGCCTTATATAGATTCACGAGTCGTTATGCGGATTTCCCTTCGTCTCAGAAGCCAGTTTCGGATTGGTTCGTTGAGTTTTGTAGACAAAATATATCACATGCTTCCTTGTACTTGCATTTACTGGTCTCGATGCCCAGATATTTGGATTTAAGGTCATTAATCAACTTGTTTATTGACAGTGTTCAGGCGCTCTAAACGATTTTTCTACACTGTGCTTGTTTCCGTTTAGGTCCTGACTGAAGTTCTTTGAACCTGTTGGGGGCATTTGTTTCGGTGTTTGAATAATGGAAGTGGAGAGGTCTAAATCGAGGCATAAGAGCGGGCTGCTATCGAGGGATCACCTGCCAGAGAATACAGAGATGGACGGAGGAAGGAGAAAGAAAACAGGAGCAAGGATAAAGATAAGGACTATGATCGAGATAGAAATAGGGAAAAAGAACGTGAGCGCGAAAGAGAAAAGGAAAGCCGAAGGGACAGAGAGAAGGAGAAAGATCGGAAAAGGGATAGAGATGGAGAAGCTGAGAAGGACAGCGGGAGAGCTAGAGATAAGGAGAGGGAGAAAGAAAAGAGCAGAGATCGAGATAGAGACAGGGAC